CAAAGGACAGGTTTATGTGTTTTAATAAAGGTGGCTTCCAAAAATATAGAGATGTAAGGTTGACAGACCATTTGCAATAATTTTAAACCTGCTATCCGTGTAGTTGTCAACACAAGTCTGGTTCACTAGTAAATGTTGGCCAATCGCTGATTCACATTTTGTGGTGGAATTTTTGTTTTACAGGAGCGACATGGTAAATTATTTTCTTTCACACTCTTATTTCTTATGGATGTGGGTACATGTCGGTACGTAGGTCGTGTCACAAAGATTGCAGAATAGAATTAAACAACAAATTTTGAACAACTCGACTTTCAAGATCTACGTATCTACATGAGCCGATGTTTTCATTTACAAACTTTATATTTTAAGATCTGTTCAAGAACTCAGCTAACTGATGTTTCCGCATATAAAAATATAAAATTATTAGAAGCACAAAATACCAAGTTATCTCCATTATTACTATTAATAGTGCGAAATACCAAGTAATATCTAAGGTTACTAAAGTAACTAATGCTTGATTGTTCTTTAAAGTAAATTGTATAGAGGTAAAAGTTAGGAAAAACAACAAAAGGTTTGGTATATGGATTCCCACCGTTGCGTTATTTGCTGCTCCGACCCTTGATGAAAGTATCTCGTTTCTCAACTGACGACGTAGGATTCTTCTTTGCGCCCCTCTTAGAACACGCTACATCCGGGAAAATAACTTGATTAGTGCAAATATTCTATATTATAATCATTTTTTAACGTTTATTTCTATCATTACTACAACCATCAAAGTACCCAAAGGAAGCTACATTTATTGGCCCTCTACTTTAGGAAAAAAGGCCTTCTTACACGATTTAATAAAGATGCTTTTTACGTATGAATATTTACTATTCATAAGTAAAGCATTACTACTTTATGTTACACGTTACCTTTTTCTAGTGGTAATCACTATAAACGAGGCTGTAAGTTTTGTTTGTCGAAAACAGGGCACTTTCACGGTCGTCATATGCTTCAGAAATTCTACGTGATACTACAATAGCCCCCCCCCCCCCAGTGGCACAGCGGTATGTCTGCGGACTTACAACGCTAGAAACCGGGTTTCGATACCCGTGGTGGGCAGAGCACAGATAGCCCATTGTGTAGCTTTGTGTTTAACTTCAAACAAACAAAGAAGTACAATAGACGATGAAACCCCAGGAAACTCATAAAAAATTCAATAGCAGTTTTTGCCACTTCAACCTCAGTATTAACTGTTAATGACGTCACTAGTAAATTAACATTACAGATAAGGACGCTTCCTCAGGATGTGCAAAAAATACATTCCAATGCAAATTTATTTAATACGAGATTACTAACATAAAACCTCAGTAGCCAAAAAATATACTAACATGAATGCCTCTGTTGGCTCAGCGGTAAGTTTGAAGGCTTACGGCGGTAAAATACGAGGTTAAATTCCTGCAGTGAGCACAGCTCAAGTAGCCCATTGTGCAGCTGTGGGCTTAAGAAACAAGCAATTAAAATGAATAACATGAGCAAAAATGTTTGACAAAAACTGAAAAATGAAATACAGAAGACAATAGTTCCCAAGACTTCTATAAATATCGGAAAGTGTTATTTGCAAATAACTAGTTCCTTGCACTAATAGGAATCACATCTGAACTTTTCCTGCCCAACCACTCGTTTCTGTAAAGGACAAAGATAATTCAAACCTTAATCGTTAAAACTAAACAACGTTGAGATAACGAAAGAGAAAATAACTGAAATCTCATTTAGTCAACCGTATATTTGATTTACTATCTTCAACGTACAAACATAGGAGAAAACATCCAATGTAAATGAAGAGGTGGGAATAAAACATTATACTAAGAGAATAAATTATGAGAAATTCTCAAAAACTCAAATACACTTGTTTAGACCAAAAATATTTCGCCCATTTTGTCCAAAACAGAATTTTTGGTTTAATAGCTTCAGTAGTTAAAGCCATTGAAAACTGACATTATTCTTTCAATTTATAGATGGTCATTTAATAAAAATGTCTGACTTTCTATCCATTAAAATTTAAAACCAAAAAAGAGGTTTTTAATTTCCTACAATCAACAGAAATTTGGTTTTTATTTAATTATGAATGTTTTACATGAAGACATTGATGTTTGTAACATATTCAGGATTTTGATGTAGAAATTCTTCTCTCTCTCTTTATATTCTAAAGACGTTCATATAAAAATGAATTAAAATCGTACCATCCAGTCAGTGTTATTTAATTATGAATATTTTGCTGATTCTCTAACTTAAAACGTTGACATTTCAAACATCAGCACCATAATTCATTCTTTATACACCAGTATTGTCATATTACAACTAGGAATTTTGGATTTTTATCAATGTTAACATTTTCAGCAAATTTGAGCTTAGTATCAAAATTTAACATACTCAGTGCTAACCCGTCTATCAATAGGGATGTTAATGAGTACACTTAGAAAATTATTTATCTAATAGACTTTCGATTAATTGATTAATTTCCTTGTTATACTAGGAACCGTTTAAGGACCTAAATTAAAACAGCAATATAATTCAAAATCTTCAAAAATTAAGACAAAACATATAAAACCCGAATTTGCATTATCACTATGAATAAAGCAACTATTTATTTAACAATCAATTTTAAAGCAATGAATCATTAACACTGACACTTGCTGAACTACATACAAGAGATGTTATTAAACTCATAAGTTTGAGACAAAAGTAATTATTTCAAACTCAATTTTGTACTTATTTTAAAACTTAACTTGAGTACTCCACTTAGTGGATGGGTGTTAAATTTTCAGTATCAAAATTTTAAACTTTCTCATCGTACAAACGTTTTTGATTGTTTGTTTGCTTTAGCACAAAGTCACATAATAGATTACACAGGTCTGCGATGGTTTTATTATCTTGAAATTTTTATATGTTCTACAGTAACTCCTGTACGCTGAATCTGAAAATGATATTCATTTTCCCCCATCACCTACAAATGTTTCACAAAACGTAATAATGCAATACATAAAAGAAAGACCACAACACGTAGTTTTGAGACTACAAGACGTAGTTTTGAGACTACAAGACGTAGATTTTACAAAAAAGTCAGGATGAATGAGGATGCATATTCATTTGACATCAATGTTCTTCCCTTTTCTTCAGTTTATTTGTATTTTTGTTAACAAACATAATAATAAAAATATTTCATTGTGGTAAACGAAATAATAATTTGATCTAAGTAAGAGTTTGTTTTATTTCTTCCCGATTTGTAATATATCTTTACGTGATAGAAAAAATAATAATATTATTTTCGAAATCTGCGTATCTGAATTATGGAAAATCCGTTATTAAAACCGAAACAACTTTTATGAAGTTTAAATTCGCAGGCCTGTGTTATCTGCGCTCTGTCTACCGCAGGAAATCCAGGCCCACATTTTAGAATTGTAAGTCTGGAAAGGTACCGCTGACTTACCATGCGATTAAAAGTTCTTAGATATATCTGTAAATTTTACATGATTATAAACTTATGAAATACATAGGTATATGATTATGAACTTATTAGCTAACGTACCAGTTCAACGCACAGGGAAGTTAGGGGTCAGATCCGAGCGTCAATCCCATATATCCCTCCCCGTTGTGCTTTAAGGACGCATTCGAAGTTTGGTATAGATTAATAGAATAACAAAAATAACACATAGGGGCCACCATATAAAGATATGGGTCAGTTCTGAACCCCTACAACCCGATCTGACTCTCCAAAGGGCCCTAAGGGTACTTGTCACGATATGTTGAGATTCGTCAAAAACTGAAAGTGTGAAATCAGGACACTCAGACAGACAAGGACCACGAGGAGTGATATTGGATTGAGACACAAATAGTAACCCATTTACGTCACTCTCCAAGGGCGTCTTCGAAGTTTGGTAGAAATCAACAGTATATCATGGGCAATAAATAAGAGCCCCTGGTGATGTCATAGATAGGACAGATCCGAACTCCAGTTGCCTAATTTACTGCCTGGTGTGCTCTAAGGGTGCCTCCGAAGTTTGTTAGAGATCAACAGAATAGCAAGCATGGGGAACACAAGTTCTCCTGGGTTGATATAGGGGTCAGATACGAAATCCGGTCTCCTGTGTTACTTCCCGGAAGATCCTAAGAGTAGATGTAAAAAAAAACTATAGGCATGAAGCCGCTGCGAATACACAGACAGACAGTTATCCCCCGAGGAGTGACATAGGGTCAAATCCGAGCGCCGCCCTCATGACACTCTTTGGTAGACCATAAGGGTGCAAATGAATTCATTGAGATCGGTGAAAAGTATGTTCATATATGTGTGGAATATATACCCACTACGAAGTATATAAAATGATTCTTCACCACCAACCGAACACAAACCTTTCGCACCATTCATTATTATGTAACATTTATCCTTTTATTTACTCTTATTATATAAGTTTATAAGTCTTTCTTGTGCCTTAGAATATAAAACATACGAACAGTTCTGTACTGTTAACACGGATTCATTCCAGTGGTGCCTACAAGTGGATACATAGAAGAGCAACTCTTCCATGAGCTCTAAGAAGGAGGACAATTTTCTATTTTAATAACATAATTTATTTGAGAGGAAGAAAGGTGAAATATTTCTTTCTTCCGTCCTCTTTCACACCCTCAATGCTTTACTAAATGTGTTTTTTTTTAACTGCAGCCTGGGGGGTGGCACCATTGATTCATACAACACAGAACACGAACAATTTTACTATATACACCACTTTTAGAGACAACACTAATATCTATGTCCATAATACTGATGACTGTCGAAATCCTGACATTAACTTAATATACATCTTTTCTCCATTTCTTTCCAACATTGTTTTTAGGGTTAAAGATTTTGATGTCTCTTATCTTTCACGTTTTACATACTGATCACAGTTAAGATATTTAACCTGGTATTATGATTTTGAAACACAACACTGAAGGTTTCATTAAGCTTAATCTGGAGAGTAGTGATATATCTGCGTTTTTTTATGACTAAATATTGGTTTGACAGTGAATCACTTACTGTGGTAGACGTGTTTCCTCACAATGAATCACTTACTTTGGTAGACGTTTTACCTCACAGTGAATCACTTACTGTGGTAGACGTGTTTCCTCACAATGAATCACTTACTTTGGTAGACATTTTACCTCACAGTGAATCACTTACTTTGGTAGACGTGTTTCCTCACAGTGAATCACTTACTTTGGTAGACGTGTTTCCTCACAATGAATCACTTACTGTGGTAGACGTGTTTCCTCACAGTGAATCACTTACTTTGGTAGACGTGTTTCCTCACAGTGAGTCACTTACTTTGCTAAACATTTTTCCTCACAGTGAATCACTTACTTTACTAGACATTTTTCCTCACAGTGAATCACTTACTTTGGTAGACGTTTTTCCTCACAGTGAATCACTTGCTTTGGTAGACGTTTTTCCTCCTCTAAATCTGCTCTTTCACGAAATGTTTGTTGATTACGTTTGATATTATTTCTTTCGGGGAGGTAATTAATTTAACAAAGACTGACTATATTTTTATATCTTATGTTGTACTTAGAGTAACTGATTTTTCCTATTTTAGGTTTTTTGTTGGGTCATTTTCTTATCTCAGACAATGTTAATGTCTCCCACTCACATGCTTATTTTTTCCGCAAGTGTAATTAATCTATATCAGACTATGTCTCCAGTCGCTCAAAGTGAGTCACTATTATAGGTATAAATGCTCTATGTAATGTTAGAAAGTGATAAGTGAGAACTGGGCGAAGTCCTATCTATTCAAGTAGCTTAATTGTCTGAAACATCAGATCAATGAACAAAATTGTTGGCTCGGATCTGACGTATCTATGAGTTCTTTTGTTGTTGTTTTTTTCATTTTGATAAATTAATTTTAAGACTACAGTAAGGAATGCCGCTTTCGAAATTTTATTTAGGTCAAAATGTATTTGGGTACATATAAAATAAAATTAATGAATTCCAAGTCTTTCAAGTGAGGTTTCAATTTTTACTTCTTCAGATTAAATTCTAGTATGTGTTTCTTTAACAGGTTACCAGCTAACAATGTGTACTTATCTTAACCACCACTTACTGTAGTTGTTCTAATCTCGTTCCATTCATTTCTCCAGCTTCTTATCGCGGCTGCTAATAAACAATTTCTCATCTACAGAAAACAAAGTGACCGAGAAACAGCCAATAAAATAAACAATTGATTATTATGTACAAAATAAAAACTATATTTCCTACAAACATAAACAAATTACAACATTATTGAAAACACTAGTTAAAATCAAAATATATAAAACTGCCCAACATTTTAATAACCATCAGCTAATATTTTCAATAACCTAACTGTTTAAGTTTAAGAAGCCCATGAAAGTATCAGCTACTAGTTACCCACACATTGGAAAAACTGAAGACATCCTGATTTAGGCTTGTCTTTTTTCAAAGTTTAATTTGTTGGCTCAGTTAGTTTAAAATTCACGTATTTACTAAACTTTACCCTTTTCATTGTTTTTAGGTAAAGTGACTGATATGTTCTCTCTTTGAAGTTTATACTTTTATGTTTATTAACAAATACAAATATTGTGGCACATTTGTGAATGTTGCACGAGTTTTAAAGTATGAAATTATCTCTTTTTTGTTGTCGCAAAGCTACACAATGAACTCTTTGTGTTTTGCCCACCATGGGTGTCATAACCCGATTTTTAGCGTTATAAGCATCAGACGTAGGCCAGTGATAAGTATATAGACTCATAATGCTAAAATACTGGGTTTGATTCTACGCTGTGAACAGAGCGAAGATAGCCCAATGTGTAGTTTTGGTCTAAAAAAATAAACAAACCAATAAAAATCTTAAAGTACGTTTATACTAAGTATGGTTTTTAATTTCTGGTTTCTTTTTTTTACAGCAAAATCAGTCAATATGTATATTAAGAGTATTATTATTTTTGGGGCTATGTAATCTAGTTGTTTCGTAATTCACAGCTGTTCAGATGATCCAAGGTTAAAATAATATTTAATAGTATTTTCCCAACTGTAAAATGTAACTAGGCTTAAAAGCACAAATGTTGAACGTAAGCCTATTTATCGTTAAATCGTTAAGGTGGGAGTTACAATGTCGTGTATAATGGTAAAACTCTGGACTTCAGATTTAAAGCCAGTTCCATACTTAATATGGTCAAGGCTTTTACATTTCGCAATTCATTTTCATATCGATTTTCCCTTAATATATTAAAATGGCTTTGCATGGGGACCACATTACAAACTACCATACATAGTGTTACAATACTAGGAAGGCTAACTGGTTTGCAGATTTCAGTGTTCTGTTATACGACTTTGAAATATCCTCGAGGTAGATCCTAGATATCTCAGGTTACACCGCAAGTACTTGAATTTGAAAACTACTCTAGACTTCTGCAGTTTGTCAGTTCGATATTTGAAATTTAAAAAAAATATATATATTCAGTCTCAAACCTGAGTTAAAAATACAAACTAAGTTTGCTTGTGGATGAAAAATTGATAATGTTTTAAGATCTTTTCCCATTTTAAACGATAATATTATAAAATTATTGTGATTTGTTTTGGATATTGGATACAAGGGTGTATCTTGTATTCGATGTTCCTAACTCACTACTCTTTTAATATCATTTGGAGAGCAAAGTTTTTAACTTAACACTTTTTAATTATATTTTCCTCCTTCATAGGCTATATTTGGTTATGTGTTTACAATATTTTCCCTAAAACCAATGGGACGAAACTCTCGAAATGTGAACACAACCCTGTAGAATTCGGCTCATAAAACACTTTTGTATTGAACTACTTGCTACTGTTTAAAATACAAGTATGAATAAATGCTAACCCATTTTTTTATCGCGAAAAATGTATTAGTGTGTTGACTAATTAAATACTTCAAACTCCTTAGATTGGTTCCTTTTCTTGGAAACTGCAAAAAGTGTTATCTCTGCATTTCCTTTTGTATAGAGTTATCATATGGTGTTGACACTTCTTTAATTCTCAGAACTTATGATTGAAAGCAAAGAGGAATATGTATTAATATGTCGTCCACACTGTATCTGTCATATCTAGTACCGAAGAGGTCTTTGTCTAATACTAGGGCTCATCAGGACAAATGAGGTACAAAGAATCTAGTTGAGGTCAAGATGTTATTTACACCATCAATGTCATGAACAACTATTATGGTGTGAGCTAAATGAAGTAAGTGAACTGTAATTATTATTAATTATATTTAAGAAATTTACAGATTAGATTTAGATAAAGGATTAATTACACATTATTATTTATCCATTTTTAACATCGGTTATTTATTATTATTATTTTTATTTGAATTAACTTTACTACCATTCAGAAGAACTGGCGAACCAGCAAGCTAGTCTAACTGTTTTTCCATTGTTGTCATGATAACTAAGAAATACATAAGCTCGAGCCTCTTGATACATTATAAAGTTTTTGCTAAGTAAGCCCATTAAACAGAAAATGAGATTCCTTCGTTGTAAATTCAAGTAATGTTTAAAATACTTTTATAGATAGTCCATTTACATTATCTAGATCCTTCAATACCAACTAATAGTAAATATCTATAGTTTCATCTAATGGTATACTAGTAAATAATGATTCAGTATCATATTTTACAAAATGAATATGTTCTTGGAAATTTAACTGTCTACAAATTATTACCAGCAGTACACTCGTTTTGTGTGAGATCTTACATATGTGTTTTAAAATACTATTTAGATCATAACTAACCTTTCTGAAATTCCTCCGACTCTGACAGATAGCCGTGAGAAGAGCGTTGTTATCTGTGAAGTTCTCAGTATCTAAACAACCATCCCAATTGGTTTTATCCTAGAAATAAGAAACAAATTTAAAAAACTACCTATTTAGATCTGGTTTTGTAATAAGCTTATTTGGTCACTTATAGTATGTGAATAATTACTTAAACATTTTTACATTTTAAATATTCAAATTCAAACAAAACATTGGCTGTGTTTCTTTTTAATCTCGATGATATAACAGGCTCCGAAATTCTGGCGTATCATCACACTATTCTTTAGATGGGTTCACCACTCACAGACTTTTGGGGAAGCCCCCCCCCCCAATGGCACAGCGGTATGTCTGCGGACTTACAACGCTAAAATCCGGGTTTCGATACCCGTGGTGGGCAGAGCACAGATAGCCCATTGTGTAGCTTTGTGCTTAATTACAAACAAACAAACTTTTGGGGAACAGTTATAATTTAACTGTCTTTACATATATCACACGACTGTTCACAGTCTTAGTATAGATATTTTATAAGCTTCAGTCTTTATTTAACTGTCTTTACATATATCACACGACTGTTCACAGTCTTAGTATAGATATTTTATAAGCTTCAGTCTTTATGCATATATCAACGCAACATTTCAAAAGTCTGCAGTCTTTTTTTATAATTATCATCACAAAATTTTAAAAAGTTCACAGTTTTTTACATATATATATATAGACACAATTAATTGAGAAATACCCTCTCTATTCCACCTTTACTATTCATGGATATTAAGTCCCCTATATACAATACATGTTAGTTTTAACCACAGCGAGGTCACAGGTTGATCTTAATAACTCAAGCTACTCGCTGGTCTATAACGTACTTTAAAATCAAACTTCTCTATCGCAGCAGTTTTCATTATTTACTTGGTGTAACCAGATTAAAGGGTTGTGGTCTGTTTCCACCACAGTGCTTTATCTAAGAGAAAGGATCTTAATCTGTCAAGCCCCCAAGCACTCTTTTTTTTTTTTTTT